AGTCTTCGCTCCTCTGGAGTTCCGCGGTAGGTGGCTGGCTGTTGTTCTTCCCGGGTCTCTTCCCGGCACCTCTCGCGGTGGAACCCCGTCTGGCGGCGGCGTTCTCCCGTCTGGCGCTGGCATTCTCCCGTCTGGTGCTGGCGTTCTCCAGCTTCCAGCTTTCAGAGGATGCCCTGAAATCTTGGCTTCCCTCACCCACAGACGTGAACGCCTTGGGTCGCCAAATGTCTAAACCCCTAAGGTACAGTCCTTTGCACTGCCTCCTTTTGAATCTTTTAAACCTGGGCCTGGCTGAGGACCTCTGTCCCAAGAATCTAATCTTTTACTGTAATTGGGCATGGTCACAATACCAACTAAGTAATGTCCCTTGATGACCTAAGAATAGAACCTTTTGATGTCCATAAGGATGAAAAAAAAATGTGGTGCCTTTGAGTTGGAGTGGTGCCTTTAAGTCGCAGTGCTGGAGAAGAGTACTGAGTATCTCATGGACTGCCAAAAAAACAAACATATATCTTGAGAAAAGTGCAACCAGAGTGTTCCTTAAAAGCAAAGATGGAGAAGCTTAATCTTTCATACTTTGGACATGTAGCTAGGTGAGGCTAGTCCTTGGAATGGAACCATGCTTGGAAAGATGGAAGGTTTTAGCGAAAAAGAGGAAGATCTCCAGTAAGGTAGGATGGCATGGTGACTTCAGTGATGGGCTTGAGAGCATCAGAGATGATGAGGATGTCACAGGATAGGGCAGAATTCAAGCTGGCTGTTCATAGGATCACTTTGTGTCATATTCAACTCCACAACACATAACATCATCCCTGTATCTTCTATACTGTCCTATGCAAGTCATCTGTATTACAAAGGGCCTAAGTCAGCCCTGCTCTCCAGAAGTCTAAGTATAAACCTCTGAAACCAGCATTGGTTTGGATGCTTTACCAAAATTATGAGCTTTTTGATTACTTGCTATGCATCTAAAATCTGGACAATGAGTAAGGAAAATGATAAGAAAATTGATGCCTTTTAGTTGCTATGTTGGAGAGCAGTATTGAATATTCCATGAACTATCAAAAGAACAAACAAATATGTTTTGGAGAAAGTGTAAATAGGGTGCTCCTTAGAGGTAAGGATGATGAAATTTTATCTCATATTACTTTCAACATGTTGTTAGAAAAGGTAGTCCTTGGAATAAGACACTTTTGCAAAAATGGAATAAACAAAAGAAAGAAAGGCCCTCTGTGAGATGGACTGACACAGTGACGGTAACAATGGCCTAAGTATATCAGAAATGATGAGAATGGCACAGGACAGGGAAGGGTACAGATTTGCTGTTCATTGGGTTGCTATGGGCTGTAATCAACTTCAAGGCACCTAACAACAACATAAGCTTTGAGTTTTCATTTTATGATGGAGGATACCTTTGGTCTGAGCCAAAAATATACAGCATCAATTTTAAAATTACCTGTTTTGGTTTATTTTTAAAGGAAATTGCTATAGTTGTTGTTGTTGTTATGTGCCATCGAGTCACCTACAACTCATAGCAGCCCAATGTACCGTAGCTCTGAATTGTGCCGTATCCTAAGCCAGTCTCACTGGATGACACACCTACACCCTTACCCCATTTATTGTGTCACTCCATCTCATCCAGGGTCTTCCTCTTCTGTCTCTCCAGCCCTCCAAGCATGGTGTCATTCTCTAAGGTCTGGTCCCTCCTGGCCACATGCCCAAATTACGTGAGACAGAGCTTCAAAATCCTTGCCTCCAAGAAACAACTTGCTTTCATCCCCCCCAAGACAGACCCATTTGTTCTCTTGGCAGTCCATGGTATGTTCAATGCTTATCTCAGCACCACAATTCAAAATCATCAATAGTCATTGTTCAGCTCTCTGATACATAGCAAGTAACTGCAAAGACCATGGCCTGGATCAGGTCCACCATAGTCTCTAGACTGACATCATTGCTCTTCAGTACTCTGGACAAGTCCTTTTTTTTTTTTTATAATTATATTTTATTAATTTTCATAAACATTTACAGAGATTTTGGGCTTCCACTCATTCATTGTTGCACTATTCTCTCTACCCTCCTCCCAGTTTGTTCTTGTCCAAATGCCACAGTGCTTGTCAAAGCCAGTTCTGATTAATCTTCTTTGTCAGTGTATCCTTTGCCATTCCCTATCACTCCTCCCTGAGAGAGACTTCACCCTGAGTCATAAGGAAAAGGGGACGGCGTATTCTCTTAGCTACTTCCTGCTGAAAAGGGACGCTGTGGGTTTCAGGGTGAAGATCTTCTCTCACTACTCTAAAGGGCCCCTTTGGCAGTAGGAAACACGTAGACTATTATGGAGATTGATTTTGGAATTCAGATGCACTCTTATTGATTGTGCTTGGCTGTACATGTACATATCCTTGAAGATGTATCATGGGGGTGTTGCAACCTAGAAGACACAAATTTGACTAACAAGTTATAAGTACGAGTCCAAAAATTATGGAAAAGTAGAAGAAAAGATTCTTTCATTGTTTTACAAACCCTCCCCCAGGTCCCCTCCACCATGCAGCCCTCGCTCTAGTCTCCTGTGATGACAGAAATACCCAGTTACATCTCTCTTTTAGACGGTTCTCTCCCTCCTCTGTTTCAGTGCAGTATACATTATTGAACCCATCTTACTCAGTCTCTCCCCAACCCCAAGGACAGTCCCATTCTACAACGGTGGCATCATGTAATATTTGTCCTTTTGTGACTGGGATATTTCACTCAGCATAATGTTCTCCAGAGTCAACCATTTTGAATAATATTGCATAAGTTCCTTGTTTTTTAATGCAGCATAGTATTCCATTGTGCGAATATACCACAGCTTCTCTAGCCATTCGTTTGTTGATGGGCACTTAGGTTGTTTCCAACTCCTTGCTATTGTGAACAAAGCTGCAATAAACATGGGTGTGCATATATCTGCTTGGATGTCAGCTATGGTCTCTTCAGGGTATATTCCCAGTAGTGGAATTGCTGGGTCAAATGGTATCTCTATTTGCAACTTTTTGAGAAAGCGTCTGGACAAGTCCTTGACAGTAGATTTACTTAATGCAATTCATCCTTTGATTTCCTCACTGCTTTTGTTGTTCTTGGTAGGTTCCATCAAGTAGGATCCTATTCATGTTTACCTTATATTTACCAGAATTAAATACTGCTTAATCCTGCATCATTCTCACAATCTCTGCTGGACTTAACTCATTGTTACAACCACTGTGTCAACCTCTTTCATTGAGGGTCATCTTTTGCATTTTATCTCTACTCAGCATGTTATCTTTCAAAAGGATCTGGTCCCCAGAGGAGGTCAGACAGTCTCAAGATACTTGGGTTGTTTTGTTTTTTTTTAATTGGAATTTTAATGAAAGTTTATAGAGAACTTGGATTTCTATTCATTCAAGATATTTCCTTTTAAAGAGCATTATGGCTGCAACTGGGAAACCTGATCGCCTATTGGATAAGAAGTTTTACTACAAGCTCTGGTGGTCTAGTGGCAAGGAATTGTGTTGCGAGTGTGAAGTCATATGCTTTGAATCTACCAGCTGCTCCATGGGAGAAAGATGGGTCATCCAGTGGGAATCACTGCCTCTGAAAACCCATCGGAAGGTCAGCTATGCGTTGGTTCTTGATGTAGTTGATAGTACAAAACAATAGCAAACAACCGAAAGGCAGCTCATTGGGAGAAAGACAATCTCCTGCTATGCAGTTTGCTAGAAGGTCAACTAGGAGTCATTTCTGACTTCATGGCACATAACAACAAATGGTTGCAATTATATTAATAACACTGGTATTGATTTAGATTCTTCTAATTTAACTCTGCGCATGCAATAAGGAAATGAATGAATAGTACGTATTGAAGAAGTCTCTGACAATTTGAAACACCATACATTTCTACTTGCCAGGGTTTATGGACGAGGGGAACCCACAAGAATATATACAAATGAAAATCTCCAAATCTTGAGGTGAAAAGTACAAAGATCAGCCTGTCCTGCATATTAACAGAAACTAGTTTGTTTTATGTAAACAAGGGAATGGCTCTGTGAGTAATACTTTCATTTTCTGCACACATATCCTCTTCCCCCCCCCCCCCATCAGCTTCCTATGGTGAAAATGTAATTAAAACAAGATGCCTAACATAAACACTGTGAAATCAGCCTGAAGGTGCAATTCAGAGTCCTTCATTCTTATGAACCCATTTCTACAGATACAAACATTCAGGGCAGGGAGATAAGGACAGTGTCGCCCTTGGTTTAATCTTTGTCCTAAACTTGGAGTTAATTCAGATACACAGAGACCTAGAAATCAAGAAACAAAATCCTGGGATTGGGGGTTGGGTGGAATGAGGCGTCTTGAACTTCCTTTCTGACACCCAGGATCCAGGAAGGGGCAAAGCCCAGGAATGATAAGGAGGTGTTGACTGAAGTAAAAGTGTCCCTGCTCTCTAAGAGCCCTTCCAACACTCTGATGGAATCCATTTTGGGAAGAAATAACAACAATAATAAGGGCACACAGTAAATAAGTAACTGCAAAACAAAAGTTGGGCAACAACTAGTTCTCACGCACCGTCAATGCCCTTGAACCTCAAGAATGCAGAGGGGATTGGCAGGACACTGACTACCCTTAGAGTCTGCTGATGCGGAAGGGAGGCTCTGAGTGGCTACGTGACCTGTGGACCATCCCTCAGGCCTCCAGGACAAGCAGAAAGGACCCTTGGCCTATAGCCCTCGTCGCACCCACCCACCAGGCGGGTCTGGCGCGCTGAGCACGGTGCCCGGGTCCAGGCGCACCATTAGCTCCCCGCCTCCGCAGCCTCCACGCCCCTCGGAGTCCCCGGAGCTGCGGCGCCTTCTTCCGCCCCGCGCGCTGCAGACTGACCGTGGGGAGGTGCGGCGGGGGCGGTGCCGACCCGAGGGGCGGACCCCAGCCTTTCCTCTGTCTCAAAAGCAAGCAGCCTCTGGCCGGGTTCCGTCATTGTGCTGTCTGCCTCACGCCGCACGTCCCGCTCAGCGTCCACGCCCACGCTCGCAGCGCCGCCATGGCCAAGCCCTTGACCGACCAGGAGAAGCGCCGCCAGATCAGCATCCGCGGCATCGTGGGAGTGGAGAACGTGTCCGAGCTGAAGAAGGGCTTCAACCGCCACCTGCACTTCACCCTGGTCAAGGACCGCAATGTGGCCACACCCCGCGACTACTTCTTCGCGCTGGCACACACAGTGCGCGACCGCCTGGTGGGGCGCTGGATCCGCACACAGCAGTACTACTACGAGAAGTGCCCCAAGGTACAGGCCAGGGCCTCGCGGGCCGGCGCCGACCTGGAAGGGGGGGGTGTTACCTTCCCCGCCCCTTTTCTGCTGGGCCAGACCTCGAGGTTGGAGGTGTGTTCTTGCCACACTGCGGGGAGTACGGAAGAGACGTGACTGGACCGGTAGTCATGGACACGGGTTCACGAACCCCACTGACACCCCATTCACGTCTCAACAGTGTGGCCAGTCTACACCTTGCCCACCCCGCTACCCTGACTGCCCCTGGGCACCGCTTGGTGAACGGAGGCCAAGGCCTGCTTGCTTGCCCATTGACTTAACAAACTTTTTTGGAGCATCAGCTTTCTGCATTTAGTCAGGATATAATGAGAAACTTGGTCCTCTTTGCCAGGCACTGATCTAGGGCCTCAAAACAGAAGTGCTCTCTTCACAGAGATTGATATGTAAGGAGGAGAGAGGAAGGCAGATCTTCGATGGTAATATCTACGAAGGGATTTTGTTTGTTTGGTATTTTTAAAGGCCAAAAGCAAAGTCTGTAGATGATAACGAGAACCAAGGAGTTTTGTTTATCTGGTATTTTTAAAGGGTAGAAGCAAAGGAGGACAAAAGCAAAGAGGGGCACCTTGTTGCCATTGAGCTTTTGATCGCTTAGTCTAGGAGGAGTGGACACCTGAGTGTAGTGGAACCCACAGAACTGTGCTCTCCTCCCTCCCCCCACACCCAGTTCCTGCTGGTAAGGTAGGCCGGGTGATGCCCATGTGACATTACCACCCCACCCCACTCCCAAGGGCTGCCTCAAGGAAGGCCGTGCGCCAGTCACCCCACTCTAGTGTGTTCTTCCCGTGCACAGCTACGCTATCCCTGTCTGACCCATCAGGGAAGGACTGCAGAGGACATTGCAGGGAAAAAGATTGTGTTCAGAAAGTGAGAGTCAGAGGAAAGCTCGGGCAGCTAGAATAGTGTGGATGTGAGTCCTGATTTGTAGAGGAAGCTGATTGGAGGCCTGTTGTGATTGAGCCATTGTGATTTCTGGAAGCAGTGAGAGATACACATAAACATGTTCTTGAAGTTTTAAAATGTGTAAAAGCATGAAAAAGAAATAGTCCATATCCAAATCCTGGTTTCCAGAGAATCTTTAAGAAGGGAACTAAATGTAGTAGTAAGCTTTGAAATAGAAGGTAACTCTTTACCCCTGGAGGCCTATACCTTTACCCAAAGAACTGCTTAATTATTTCTGTGTCATTAGGAAGAATACTGGGCATACAGGCCTATGCTTTCTTACTAAGCTTTCTTTTGCTTTTTTGCCTTTTGTAGATCTTGTGTGGTTTGCAAATTGAAGGTTTGTTGCCACTCTGTGTCATTTTTAAAATGTATGTGTTCACTTGGAATCTCTGTCTCGTTTTGATAATTCACTTAATTTTTTCGATTTTTTCATAATGCTGTTACTCCATAAATTGCAGTATAGTGTACATGTAACTTTTATGTGAACTAGAAAACCAAATCTTTCCAATGACGTTTGCTTTATTGAAATATTTGCTTTATTGAGTCAGTCTGGAACCAAACTCACGATACCTCCAACATAAGACTGTGTATATATAGTTACTCACTCTTTTATTAGTGGAAGAGGTGCTACTAAACATGCATGTGTTCCGTGCTTTAAGCTGCCAAGTAATACTATGAGCCATATTTGAGAAATAACTTCTCCCTTCTCCCCAAGCATTTAGTAGAAAATAGCACATTCACCTTGTATATTTGTCCTCCAATGGCTTCTCTGATTCTCTTACAGTTTTTCTAGTTCTCTAACGAACTTATTCTCTGGTCTCCCTTATTCCCTTTGAGTACAAGTAGAAGCCAGGTTGTGATACATTAGGGATACAACAGTGAAAATGGCAGATTCAACACCATTAATATCTACACTATGACAGTTGCTTTTCTCAACAGCATGGCCCCTGCTCTCATGGAGCATAGAACAATATGTAGGTATGTCACAAACTGCTCTGTCAATCCTTGGTCTTTCCAGTAACTATACAGATAAAGGCCAGGTTGAATCTTGTGTCTGAATTATTTCTCAAACCCCATTCCCACATTTCCAAGTGCTTGGTGAACATACCTATTAGATCTTCTCCACTTCAGTGAGTTCAAAACACAGATCGGGAGACGGTCGAGCCAGCGGAAGGCGACGGCTGCACCTGTGAGCGGAGGCCGAGGCCTGGCATGGCGGCGCCCGTTGAACTCTGTGAGCGCAGCGGCCTGGGGACCCGCTTAATTCAAAAAGTTAAATCTCTGTTAATTTTAAATCACTAAATGAGAGTTAAAGAAATTATTATTCCTGGGGACAGAGAGATGATATAGCACAATGTCAAGTATTAGATTTACACTTTATACAACACTTTTTTTTAAAAAAGAAAAGGCAATACACGTGAGTACATTGCAGAAAGCATGAAAATACACCTAATAAGAGTCAGGAACTGTAGTTGGGGGGGTCGGGGAAATACACCTAATAAAAGAATGAGAAGGTTTCTGTCTGGTATTATGCAGTAAGTATTGGTGGCTTGAGATTTTCTGTGCCAGCCCCATGGCCTCATGTACAAGAGCACCTGTGATGGGGGAGAGCAGGATGGGTACCTATGTCTGGCCAAGGTAAGGCACCTTCTCTCAGCACAATTGCATCCAATTGGCTGGTGAAGTACCTGATGATAGCTTTATAGACATTCAAAATAAGCCATGACTCAAACAACTTAAAATGAAGGTGGTAAACTCTAGAAGACAGTGTTGTGTGGCTCACAAATGTTGGCTTTCCATGTGAAGATTTAGAATTCAACTGTTTGATGAAATAAGAGTGGGCAAGAGTACAATTTCAAAATTGACATTTTAACATAGTGTTTTAACTTAAATGTATAACCAATAAGTTAAACATTACAATGTTGTTGTTATGTGTGGTCGAATAGGTTGCGACTCGTAGCAACCCTATGTTCAAGAGCCCTAAACCCTGCTCTATCCTGTGCCAACCTCACCGTCTTTGACACACTTATTCCCATCACCCCAGTCACAGAATCAGTCCATCTCATCAAGGGTCTTCCTCTCCTATGCTGTCCCTCCACTCTCCCAAACATGATGTTCCTCTCCAAGGACATGCCCTCTCCTTGCAACATGCCCAAAGTATGTCAGATGAAGCTTCAGAATCCTTGATTCCAAGGAGCAGCCTGGCTTCACCCTCTCTAGAACGAACCTGTATGTTCTCCTAGTAGTCCATAGACATTTATAATATTCTTGCATCTTCCTCCTCCCTGGTTTCAAGTTAACCAAATGTTTTAAATTTGGGCTCTTTATTAGGAAATGAAATGGGGGACCCCCTTATGCATGAGGTGGCTATATGTTAGCCCAATTTCGAATCCTTACTTTGTGTCTCATGTTGAAGAAAAGGTAAAAAAACTATTATGGGAAGTAAAATATTGTAAGAAGAGTATTTACTGATAGCATTTACTTGGCTTTTATCATGTCAGAGACGAACAGTGTCTGAGTTGACAGAAATTTCCTCTTTCATCAAGAACATCTTACCAATAAACTTTAAATAACTTTTTTTTTATTTAGAAGAAACTGCTGCCAATTCATAGCTTACTAACAACTTTCATTTTAGTTCTAAAATAATAAGAAATGTGAAAGTGAGTGTAGTCAAGAAGAAAGTATTAGAAATAGTTTGTAGCCATGGAGAATACTTTGAGTTGTGTTTCTCGGATAACTTGGCATAATCATGGCTAGCCCACCTGGCCCTTGCCCACGGAAGAGTTCTATAAATATTTTATGAATGAACGGTAAGTTATGGCAGTCTGACTCCACAATACATGCTTTATTCATGAAGTCTATAAGCCAGAAAAAAAAAAACAACACGAAATGGTGTAACACATTGAATCTTGTATTCTCTTTTTCATCCCTGGGGGGTGAAAACTATTTTCAGCTTTGCCAAAGTAGGGTATAAGATAGTTTTCCTAAAGTCTGTTGTCAATAATGCTTTTGTTTAGAAGGCTATAGTCGTTCACTTGAACCTATGCAAATGTAGCCTTTGCATGTTCCTTATTAGTAACCTAACTTATTAATGACCTGGTTTTTATGTTGGCTTCATATATGTGACCTTTCTTTTTCTTATTTCAGCGAGTTTATTACCTGTCTCTGGAATTTTACATGGGCCGGACATTACAGAACACCATGATCAACCTTGGCCTGCAAAATGCTTGTGACGAAGCCATTTACCAGGTACATTATTCTAGTATTTCTCTTTTCTTCTTCATATTTCTCTCCCCTCCTGAAATGTCAAGTTCACATTAGGAACCTTAGATAACAAACAAACAAACAAACAAACAAAAAGTAGATATCACAAACTACTAGAAAGATAAATTAGAGTTTAAGGAAAATAATCAGAAAAAGAAGTTAGAGAAGTAATAATGCATCATACAAATTTTATTTTGGAGTCAAAGTCTATAATAACACTGTCCAACAACTAATACTTTGGAGATTAGCACCTGAACAAGCCTTTGGAAATATTCTAGCTTCCACTATTAGAATTACAAGCCTGATTGTGTTGCTGCCTGCTTTTTAAGAAATGGTTAATTTGGTTTCATTGTTTCATATATCAAGGTAATATGTGAAAATGATAAAAATTTTTAGTCTCTTACACGTTCTTAACTATTGCTCTTATGATGTAAAGCACAATCCTATTTCAAGGAGGAAACTGAAGGCTTAAAACTAATATATTGTTATTGTCATTCTGTGCCTTTCAGTTGGAACCCACTCCTAGATGACCCTTCTGTAACTCACACAGGAGGAGAATGCTCATCTTTCTCCCTCAGAGCAGCTGGTAGATTAGAAATTCCATGCCCAGAACTCACATAGACAAAAAATTTCCTTTTCATTTATGAACATCTTCAATTGTTTCTCCCCTAAACTTCCTGTGTCTCTATACCAGATACAGTCGTTAACCTTTATGATGTGCTTGAAAAGAGAAATCTGTATTTGCAAAGACAAATTCTAAATGAGAAAATGTTCAGGCTGCTCCTTTTCCTCGGGATAGCATTGTGTCCTAATGTGGCCAGCTCTCTGTCACCAAAAGCTGGGCTGCTTGGTGTGGGTGAGTGTTACTTTAACCCACTGACCTTGAGCATGTTCCAACTCATAGCAACCCCATGGGGCAGAGTAGAATTGCCTCATCTCTGCGCTGTAACTCGTTACAGAAGCAGACTGCCTCATCTTTCCCTCATGGAGCTGCTAGTGGCTTGAAGCTGCTGGTAACCCCCGTACTTAACCCACTGTATCAACAGGGCTCATATATCATACTTCAGACATTTCTTTTTAGAATTTTAAAACATCCTAAATGTTAACACTTGGAATTCTTAACATTAACAATTGACTTGCACAAAGACCTTAATGAACTCTAGTCAGCAGGTAACAAATGTGAAAGACCTTTCAACAATGAAATCAGACCATTTTGAACTTTTTGTAAAATATAGTTTTCAAGACTCATTGGAGGATGCAACTTTTTGGTTTATATGAATCCAGATAATTTGGAAACTGTCCTAAAAGAAAATCTATCTGAATGATTGGAAAACCAGTTTGCTAGTAAACTTTTATTGAAATAACAAAACTTGGGGCAATGGCAGGGGGAAAGCTATACCTCTGATGAGGATGGCACAGAATAGGACAGGGTTCAGGTCTGTTGTTCATAGAGTCGCTATGAGTTGTACTTGATGGCACCTAAAACAATAACCACCAAGAACTACAAAAGAGCTCTGGTAGCCTACTGCTAATGCAGAGGCATCCCAAGTGCTTCAAATCTACCAGCAGCTGAGGGGAAAAGATGCAGTCTCCTCCCGTTAAAATTGAAAGCCTCAGGACCAGTGGGCATTGCTATGACTCAGAACCCAGGTCAGTGGCTGTTAGTGAATCACAAAAAAGCATCAACCCCAAGCATAGTTCTATTTTATGCATGCATTTGCAAACACATTAATTATTTTTCAGTTATAAATATCAATCACATGACTTTCAGATAATAATAGTTGTATTTCACATATGAGCTAGATTATCATCTTGTCAAGACAAAATGAAGAAGAAAGCAAAACCTCACTGCCGTCAAGTCAATTCTGACTCATAGGGACCCACCTTATAGAACGGAATAGAACTAGTACATAAGGCTTCCAAGGATGTTGAATTTATGGGATCAGATGGCCTCATCTTTCTCACATGGCTGATGGGTTTCAACTGCCAGCATTTTTTTCCTATAATTATATTTTATTAATTTTCATAAACATTTACAGAGATTTTGGGTTTCCATTCATTCATTGTTGCACTATTCTCTCTACCCTCCTCCCAGTTTGTTCTTGTCCAAATGCCACAGTGCTTATCAAAGCCAGTTCTGATTAATCTTTGTCAGTGTGTCCTTTGCCATTCCCTATCACTCCTCCCTGAGAGAGACTTCACCCTGAGTCATAAGGAAAAGGGGATGGCGTATTCTCTTAGCTACTTCCTGCTGAAAAGGGACGCTGTGGGTTTCAGGGTGAAGATCTTCTCTCACTACTCTAAAGGGCCCCTTTGGCAGTAGGAAACACATAGACTATTATGGAGATTGATTTTGGAATTTAGATGCACTCTTATTGATTGTGCTTGGCCGTACATGTTCATATCCTTGAAGTTGTATCATGGGGGTGTTGCAACCTAGAAGACACAAATTTGACTAACAAGTTATAAGTACATGAGTCAAAAATTATGGAAAAGTAAAAGAAAAGATTCTTTCATTGTTTTACAAACCCTCCCCCAGGCCCGCTCCACCATGTAGCCCTCGCTCTAGTCTCCTGTGATGACAGAGATACCTAGTTATATATCTCTTTTAAACAGTTTTCTCCCTTCTCTGTTTCAGTGCAGTATATACATTATTGAACCCATCTTACTCAGTCTCTCCCCAACCCCAAGGTCAGTCCCATTCTACAACAGTGGCATCATGTAATATTTGTCCTTTTGTGACTGGGATATTTCACTCAGCATAATGTTCTCCAGAGTCAACCATTTTGAATAATATTACATGAGTTCCTTGTTTTTTAATGCAGCGTAGTATTCCATTGTGCGAATATACCACAGCTTCTCTAGCCATTCGTTTGTTGATGGGCACTTAGGTTGTTTCCAACTCCTTGCTATTGTGAACAAAGCTGCAATAAACATGGGTGTGCATATATCTGCTTGGATGTCAGCTATGGTCTCTTCAGGGTATATTCCCAGTAGTGGAATTGCTGGGTCAAATGGTATCTCTATTTGCAACTTTTTGAGAAAGCGCCATACTGCTTTCCACAGGGGTTGCACCATTTTACACTCCCACCAACAGTGAATCAGGGTTCCAGTTTCTCCACAACCTCGCCAGCATTTGTTGCTTGCTGTTCTGTTAAATTTTGCTATTTTGACTGGGGTGAAATGATATCTCATAGTTGTTTTAATTTGCATCTCTCTTAGGGCTAGGGGTTTTGAGCATTTCTTCATGTGCTTGTTAGCCATCTGAATGTCGTCTTCGGTGAAGTGCCTGTTCATATCCTGTGCCCATTTTTCTATTGGATTATTTACCTTTATCTTGTTGTGGTGCTCAAGTATTTCATAAATTCTGGATATAAGTCCCTTATCTGATATGTTATTACCGAATACTTTTTCCCAGTCAGTGGCTTCCCTTTTTACCCTACTGGAGAAGTTTTTGGATGTGCATAACTGCCAGCATTTTGATTAGCAGTCCCGCATTTAACCAGTTATACCACCAGGGCTCCTTCTGAGCAAAATAGGGAAAGTCATTTATCTGGTCATCAGTTGCCTCATTCTACGATTAAAATTCAAGAAGTGACCCCCTGGCTGTTGAACCTTAATATGAGTTCACAGTGACTTCTGGATGTGGGATCCTTTACTACATTTGACTATGAGTCAAATCCTGCTCATCTCTAGATTATTGACAGTCTTTGTCTTTGCTCTGAGAAAAGTAGAAACGTTTACCCCTGGCTAGCTGGATTGCATGGCCGAAATTTCCCTGACTGCTGTCAGGCCCAGATCTGCCTCTCATGGCAATGACTCACTAACTGGTTTTAGGTTAAGAACTATTGACTCTACTGAGTAAATATGTTGTGGTAATAAGAATATGGACTTTAGTCCATCCAGAAATGTCTGACTTCATCCTTTGTTATCATTTTCAAAATCCTTTAGTCCTGTTAGTGTCAGCGTGGTACTTGTGCATTATTATAAAAAACAGCTAGCATTTCCTGAGGACAGTGCGTCCAGTAGTACTTTAGAAACTTTATGTAATCTTCTTTAATTCATGGCAATCTTAAATTGAGGGAAGTGCTGATAGTTACCCTCTTCAGTTTCCAAATAACAGAAGTAATGCAAAGATCTCATGGCTTCTCCAGGGTCACAGAACTAGGAAGGATCCGTTGGTAATGAACACATAGAGCCCACACACTTCTCTATGCTACTGCCGAACCGTATAGTACCATCTAGATCTGCAGCATCCAAGATCCGCAGTACGCACTTCATGCTAGAACAGACTGTGAGGGACCTAGATTGAGAATGCACAGATAAACATGGATGCCTCACCCAGAGCTTTAGGAAATTATTGTTATCTGAAAAATGGGCTACAACTGAAGTGGCATTCAGTGTGGTTTCCCTTTCATCATCAGCTTGGACTGGACATGGAAGAGCTAGAAGAAATTGAAGAAGATGCTGGGCTTGGCAATGGTGGTCTTGGAAGGCTTGCTGGTGAGTGACAGTGTTGATTTAGTAATTGCCAGTTGCTACCTTCTCACATCATCATGCTTAGGAAAACTAGACCAGCTTCCTAAAAGCAAAGGAGATGTGACTTGTTTGTAAAGATATATAGTTATATGTTCTTGAGTTCTCACAGAGAAGGGAACTTGAACAAAAGAGACATTGCTTAAAACCCTTGAGGCATTGCTTAAAACCCAAGTTGACCAGATCCTTCCTATACACTTGGAGGTTACTGAAGAATCTCCTTTCTTTACATCACTGTTAATTATTCACAGCTGCTGTTTTTGCATAGTTATGAGGTATAACCCACATTATTTAACCGTTGTCTTACTGTTTTGTGCACTTGACAGTTTTCTTTTTTTGATTGACTGTTGGGTAATGATGATATTTTCTTTTATGACTTGAGTTTTGTGTATGTGGATATAATTTGAGTTCTTTGCTTTATCCAGAAATTTATTTCTAGGAGACAGAGGAACACTGAAAATATAATACCATCTCCAAAAATATAATACCACTCCAAAAGTCAAATATACGTATCTCTGTGACCAAACAGGGTTCTCTGGTGGCCAAGTAGTAGAAAGCTGTGCTGTAATCCCAAAGGCACACAGTTTGGATCCACCAGTTGCTCCATAAGAGAAAGATGGACAATCTCCCATGCAATTTACTACCTCTGGAAATCTGCTGGAGTTATGAGTTGGTTACAACTTGATGGCATATAACAATAACGACCAAATATTTCTAGAAAGGACTACAGAAGTGAGGTAGTGTCAAAATATGTCCTAGCCCATCTCTAATGTTTTACAAGGAGAAAATGTTAAGGTATTATTTGTGAAATTAAAATTTAATAGTAAACATGTTTTATTACATGTATATATGAAACTATATCATATGAAAAGTATTTCCTATATTTTTAGAAAATGTTCAAAATTTTTTCTAATTTTACCCACTCTTTCAGTTTACTAGCAATCTATTTGCATCTGTTTCATATTATTTTCCTTTCAATAAATTAATAGTGCTATGTTTTAACAGTGGCATTGTTGTGGCTGTGTGCTATCAAGTTGGAATCAACCCATAGCTGACCTTCCAACAGGTTCAAAGGGAGTTAATTGCATGGAAGGAGATTGTACATCCTTCTCCTGCAGAAAACCATGTGCCTTTAGGATGACAGCGCAGCTTCCTACCACGAGGCCACCATAGCTCCATAACAATAGCATCAGTAATAGTAAACACTCTTTGGAATGCTTGCCACCTTCTTAGGAACTTGTTGGTTTGTGCTCTCAGTTGAAACTGACTCATACCTGACCTTCCAGCTGGTTTTCGGAAGATTGTAAATCATACAAGGGGAGATTACCCATCTTTCTTCTGTGAAACAACTGCAGTATTAGAGCCACATGCCTTTGATTAGGGGTGCAGCTCCTTACCACCAGAGCTCCATTTCTTAGGAACTTAGTCAATAAGCAATTCAGTAGGTTTTTCATGGGGATATAGAACCCAACAGCATCAACAGAATGCACATTTAAGAGTGGAAACCAGTCTGTCTTTTTTATATGAAAACTGCAGTATCTGTTGGCTAGGTTAATCCCCACCCTGAGGATGGCATTAGTGATCTTCCTACTTCTGTTTGCAGATAAGATAAAAAGATGAATGATGGGTAAAACCACCAAAGAAAATCGTTCAGCTGATTTGATATCTTGACCACTTCCTAAAAGTGTCTGGTCACTGACAGCTTTGAGGAATGGTAAAGCAAGCAAGGTGCATAGGAAAGTTGACATTACCTGCACCCACTCTTATTACTGATCTCACCTTTTACTGAAAAAGTTGAGACTCTCTTCTGGTCAATTTCTAAGGATAATGTGAACTAAAAGGTCATTGTTGTCAAGTTGGAATTTGACTCTACCTTGAGTTTCCAGAGCAGGAACTTGCAGAAGTGAAGAATGTCCATCTTTCTCCTGAGGAGCCTCTAGTGGATTTGAACTGCCAGAGATGTGGCCTTTGAGTTAGCGCTACAGCTTCTTATGACTAGGCCATCAAAGCTCTCTTATGGATAATATGAAGAGAACCAAGAAATTGCCATACAACCGTAGTTCAGAGAGCTCTGGGAACTGGAGTCAGAGCCAGGACACATGAGCATTCGGATGAGAAGACTTTTTTTAAAAATTAAATTTTATTAATTTTAATGAACATTTACAGAGATTTTGGGTTTTCATTCATTCGTTGTTGCACTGTTTTCTCTTCTCTGCCCTCCTCCCCAGTTCATTCTTCTCCCCCCCCTGAAAGTCTGTTTTAATTGTTCCATTGCCACAATGCTTGTCAAAGACAGTTCTGATTAATCTCCTTTGTCAGTGTGTCCTTTGCCATTCCCTATCACTCCTCCCTGAGAGAGATTTCACCCTGATTCATAAGGAAAAGGGGACAGCGTATTCTCTTAGCTACTTTCTGCTGAAAAGGGACGAAGACTTTTAAGATGTGTTGACATGAAGGCCTTGGGTGCTTGAGTTTATGGATGTCTGTTCTAAGGCTTGCCATGAACTTGCCTCTGTTCCTCTCTGTTAAATCCATAAATCTTAGTGTTCTTTTCAGTCCCTGATCCTGCTCTAAATGCTCTTATTCTTCAGCTAGTCCTCAGTTCAGATTTCTAAGATGACTCTAATTAGTGTAGCTCCTCACTTTGTGCCAGGTCACAGAAAGATCGCTGCCAAGCAGTGGCTCCTGGCCAAGGACTATGTCAATAATGGTTTTGGCAAGATGTAAAACACCAAGCAAAAAAGTAATTCAACAACAACAAAAAGATGTGTTGTGTTATAGAACAATGGCCTTTGAATGGTTTGGCCATTCTAAGAATAACTTATTCAGCAATATATCTTTGTCAAGACCCTGAATCTCTTGGTTTCTTTGCCATTACTCATGGTGGAAAAAAGATGGCAGAAGCAAAGAAAATCTTTCTCAGATTTTCTATCCTCAGCAGATTTCCTAGTACCTCGTACTAGACTGAATGGCATGGCATGTCCATTGTTATTATGTGCCATCAAATCAGAACTGACCCATACTGACCCTCCAGTGGGTTTTCAGAAGCAATTACTGGCAAAGGAAATAAAATTACTATAGTTTACTAAATTATTATAGTACTATAATTACTATAGTATACTAAATTATTAATGCAAAATTCACTTCCGGGAGCATGGAAGGAACCTTAACTCCCTGAGTCATATCTGAATCTTCACCCGAAACGCAAGCCCACTGCCTTCAAGCTGGTTCCAACTCTTAGAGATCCTCCACTGGGTTTCCAAGGCTGTAAGTCTACGGGAGGAGACTGCTCAGCTTTCTCCCTTGAAGGAGCCAGCGGTTTTGAATTGCTAGCCTTAAAGTTAGCAGCCTGGCCAGTTACGTTCTGCCATCAGGGCTGGATATCTAAACATTGGGATTTCATTAATCAGGAAAGAAAGGAGTGTGCCACACATGTCCAGCAGGACAGCTAGGTACTGTGAGGTCATGAGTCAGATGTATGTTATTCTGGCCTGTGGCATCTTTTCAAGTAAGGAACCATAGAAACAACTTCCTTAGAAGGCCAGTCTAAGTGGCCAGCAGCACAATCAACATATGTGGGTCAGAGCCTTTATCTCTTCTCAACTGAAGTATAAATTCCCAGTTCCCGCACTCAGAGCTTCTGTTGATCCTCAGAAAATAGAGTCTGAGAATTTGCTTTTTTAACATAGCAACGCAGGAGATTTTGAAGGACCTAGCATCGGGTTCATGTTTTAAACTTTGTAAAATCCCTTTCCCCCTCTCATCTTCCTGACTTGTTTTCTTAAAGATTGCTGTTGTTGTTGTTGGGTGCACTGGCCACTCTCGTTCCCTCGCCTTAGCCAGCACTTTACCTGGTCTGGGTACTTTGTGTAGTGGAGTGATTCAGGCTTGATCCCAAGTCCTCAGTTGCCTTGTTCTTATTAATTTCCCTCCAATCCTGACACCACACTCCTCTTCATAGAGTCCAGCCTCTCAGATAATTTGCTCAGCATACAGATTGAATAGGTATGAAGGGAGAATACAACCCTGACACACTCCCTTTTCAATTTTAAACCCTTGCACTGTTCACACAGCAGCTCTTGGTCCAAGTATAGATTCCACATGAGCACAATCAAGTGCTCTGGAATTCCCATTCTTCTTATTGCTAACCATAACTAGTTATGATCTAGTTATGAACTAGTTATCAGTTCTTCCTGGTACAGTGATTTTGTGTATTTCCTCTATCTTTCCATGATGCTTTGTGGGTCTTTCAATATATTGCCCATAGCATCCTTCAATATTGAGACCAAGGTTTAAATTTGTTTTTCAGTTCTTTCAGCTTGAGAAATGCAGAGTGAGTTCTTCCCTTTTTGTTCTCCAATTCCAGCTCTCTGCATATTCCATTATAATATTTTACTTTGTCCTCCTGAGATGCCCTTTGAAATTTTCTGTTCAACTATTTCACTTCAACATGTTTTCCTTTTGTTTTGGCTTCTTGACGCTCCAGTGCTATGTTTAGAGTTTCTTCTGACATATATTTCAATTTTTTTCCTTCTATTTTTGTAATGACCTTTTGCTTTCTTCATGGATGATATCACACCACAACTCATCTGGTCTTCGATCATTGGTGTCCAGTGACTCAAACCTATTAAGATGATCTTGAAATTAAGATGGAATTTTTTCAAGATCATATCTTGATTTCTGTGAATTTATTTTCATTTTCTTAGGCCTCAATTTAAAGTTGCATATGAATAATTGATGATCTAACCCACAGTCCACTCCTGGCCTAGTTTTGACTGCTGATATTGAACTTCTCCAATGATTAAGAAATCAAGGATGTAGTCAATCTGATTCCTGTGTAGCCCATCAGGTGAAATTTGTAAATATGTCATTTGTGCCTTAAAAAAAAGGTGTTTGCAATGAATAAATCATTGCAAATGCAAAATTCAATCATTCCATTTCCAGCCTCATTTCAATATAGGAAAATATAGGTAAGATCAGGTTTAGAATATGTGTGTTTGTGTATGTATAATAATACATATAAAGTTCAAGAATTTCTAGTGGCATGATGGTAAGGAGTTGTGGAGTTGTGCTGCCAGCCTGAAGGCAGGCCGTTCAAATCTACCAACTGAAAGATGGGCAGTTTCCTCCTTTATGATTAACTGCCTCTGAAAACCCACTGGAGGATCAACTCTGAGTCAGATCCAACTCGACAATATATAACAATAACATATATCATATTCTTGTTTTCATTATCATTGACACTGAGTCAGAATCACCTTAACTGACCCTCCATTGGGTTTCCAAGGTTACGTATTGCACTGGAAGAGATTGCCCATCTTTGTCCTGTGAAGAGCCAGTGGTGAATTCCAGCCACCACAGAGGCATGGGCTTTAGGTAGCTCTGTGATGACAAAGTCCGTAGGGAGTTGCACTGCTAACCCAATGATGGCACCTCTCTGGTGGTTCAAATCCACCAGTGGCTCCTCAGGAGAAAGACGGTCAGACAGTATAATTGTTTACAACCTTGGAAACCTGTTGGTGGGTCAACTGTGAGTCAGTTCCAAAACGTTTCTGCAAATAGTATTACTATTTGTATTGATCATGTAATTCAAATAGATAAGATATGCTTTCTAAAAATACATACTTAGTAATTTTTAGTATACTCATAATTTAGTATTGATTTACTATATATGCATACAATTATAGAAATTGTATTGCACCTTTGTCTACACTTAAAAATATAAATGTTGTTTCTCAAAGGAATGTATTCTGTAATGGCCCTGTTGCATAGAAAAAGACCTGATTATTTTTACCAAGTTAAATGACTATGGCTTTTGTGTGTAGCCTGCTTCTTGGATTCCATGGCAACCTTGGGACTTGCAGCTTATGGATATGGGATCCGATACGAATATGGAATCTTCAATCAGAAAATTCAAGATGGATGGCAGGTAAGTGAGCCATTGTTTTGCATATCATCACTAATGTATTTCTCTCTATGGTGTGCTGGATGTTTCTACAGTTTTGGACATTTAAAGTTGGGTTTACTAAATCTACTGACATGTGGTTTCACCAGTGAATATAATCAGTCTTCTCCCACTGGGATGTAAGTTGCCTGCATTGTCTTCAGAGACATTAGATGTTTCTGAGTGAGCGACCCTGTTTTTCTGCTCTTCACTTTGTCACCATCTGCTTACTCCAGTGAGAGATCACCCCCAGCCCAGGGGTCCTTCGGCACCTCTAGGTGTAAAGGCAAAAAGGCTCTGAGATGACACATTTTATGATGCCGCATATGTATTTTGATCACCTGCTTTGCCCCACCTCCACCACTGTATGGTGGTTAAAGAACATATGAAGCCTGGTCGTTGTGATTGAATGCAGTAAAGGTTACATACATGGAATTCTTTTTCTAGCTTATGGAATTTTTTTTTTTTTTAATTTTGTGTGCGTGTACCGTCAAATCAGATCTGACTGATACAGGAGGATATTGCGCCTCCTTCTCCGGCAGAGCGTCTGGTGGATTCGAACCGTGTTCCTCTGGGATTGCAGTGCAGCTTCTTGCCACTAGGCCACCAGAGCTCCCGGAATTTTTTTTTAAAGTCTATCGGGGAGGTTGGATTCCCCCACCCCAAATTTTTATTGGTTCATCATCTGCTTTACTTGAAGTGTGTGAAGAGTAAAGGAGGTTTGTAGAAATTGTATTGGGCAATTAGGACACTTGCTCACTAAGTGGGTGACCTTAGATAATCATCAATAAAACTAGATTTTTCTTAAAAAAAATCCAGTGAGAATAAGTGCTAGAGAAAAAAAATATATATCAAAGCTTTGACAGTAATCTCAAGGAGGTGAAATGACAGATGACTTTACTATCATCTAGGCGCTAACACAAAGGTGGGGCCTCTCTGGTGTTTCAAATCCTCCAGCGGCTCCTCCAGAGAAAGATGGGCAGTGAGGCTCTGCTTTGTGTGATTTCCAGCCTCTGAAAACCACCTTGAGGGTCAGCTCTGAGTTGTTTCCGACTCTGTGACAAGGAGGGTTTTTGTGTTTTATGTTTTGTTTTGGTTTGGTTTGGGTTTTGGTCTGTTTGCTTTTCTACATTTCTCATGTAGTATGAGAAATGTGTGCTTCATAATTATAAAAAGTTATAAAAACAAAAGGCTTGGTTCTCATCTCCAGAGTTGCCTGATAGCATTTACTAACTCAGTGAGCAATTTAAATATGACTAATATATTGACACAGTCAGGCCAAACCACACATAGATCCATTTTCAGTCTTTGAAAGTATGTTGTATGGTACTCATTATGCCCCAGAATATTTAAAAATTTTTTTATCTTTTAAGTCTCTATAAAAATGTGAAAGGAACTTGGCAAATCAAATTTCCTTTCTCCCCCTCAAATGAATTTCCTTCTAAAATTTTATAAAAGCTCACTCTTGCTGCCCTGGATGTGCTCACCAAGTTGTGCCAAGAAATCTGGAGAACAACCACTTGGCCAACTGACTGGAAGAGATCTATATTTGGTCCCATTTCAAAGAAGGGTGACCCAACAATGACTAGGGAGGATAAAAGGAGAATTGATGCCTTTGGGCTGTGGTGCTGGAGAAGAATATTGAATGTACCCTGGACTGCCAAGAAAACAAACAGAATCATCCTGGAGAGGGTTAAACCAGGCTACTCCTTGGAGGCAAGGATTCTGGGGCTTTGTCTGATATACTTTGGACATGTTGTAAGAAGAGAAAGGTCCTTGGAGAGGGACATCATGCTTGGGAGGGTGGAAGGATGGCGCAAGAAGGGAAGACCCTCTACGAGATGGATTGATTCAGTGACTGGGGTAATCGGGATGGGTGTGTCAGAGGCAGTGCGAATGGCACAGGATAGAGCAGGGTTTAGGGCTGTTGTACATACGGTCGCTATGAGTCGCAAAGAACTCAACGGCACATAACAACACAACTCTTGATTAATCTCACTCTTGCTACTACCTTTAGATGATCTTTATTCTGGGATGTTAATATTTTGTTTGATCAGTTTCAGGAATTGTTACATGCTTTCAAGTATGACTCATAGAGATCCTAAGAACAACAGATCTGAACCCTGTCCTATCCTGTGCCATCCTCACAATCTCAGATACACTTGAGCTCATTGCTTCAGTCACTGTGTCAAATCCACCAGTTCCAGGGTCTTTCTCTCCTTCACTAGCCCTCCACTATCCCTCCACCTTTCCAAGGATAATGTCTAGCCTCTCCTTGAAACATGCCCAAAGTATTTGAAATGAAGTTTTATCATCTTTGCCTCCACGGAACACTCTGACTGCAGCTTCTCCAAGATACATTTGTTTGTTCTTTTAGCAATCTGTGGGATATTCAGTGCTGTTCTCCAACACCACACTCAAAAGCATCAGTTTTTCTTCATTTATCCTTATTCATTGTCCATTTCTCAAAAGCATAGCAATGAGTGAAGATCAAGAAAATATATATTTTAAAATATTTAAAGTTAACCTTACTATCCATCATCACTCTTGGTATTTCATTGTAATTTAAAAAAGGAAATATTTCTTTTTTTTTAAAAAAAAGGAAATATAGCATTTTAACTCTAATAGCCAGTGTTTACTGGGATAGTATTTTAAAAGACAAATATAAAATGTTATCATACCATGAGAAAAGAAGTCATTTTCATAGGAAAATACAGAAAACAGTATGCTTCTTTAAAATGTGGTCCTATCCCCATTCACTGCTATAACCAGGGTGACACAGAGAAGAGTAATGACAATTTCACAAGTTCGGGAGATTTTTTTCAAAGTTTGAGCCTCTCTACAAGGTAGATTTGCATCAACCAGGTAGGTATTCCTTGTGAAATGCCATCGAGGAAGAGTTTTATCAGTAAAATCCTTGACTTAAAACTGTTATCAAATCATTGAAACCTAAATAGTAATCATTCTCCATGAAAATAACTGGAGGTAAGCAGAGGGGAAAGGCGATTATGACATGTTTAACAGTTAACACCTAAATGTTGGGTAGAACAGCACTTGCATTTGGCATCCCAGCACTGAATCAGGCAGCGTCCTGATTCTACTCAGAACCTGTGTTAAATTTGCTATAGCCAGTCATGCGCTGTTCTCATTATCCAACAAAGAAACAGAAAAGGTAGTTGTAGAGTCGACTCTGACTCATAATAATAATCCCATGTGTGTCAGAGTAGAACAGTGAGAACAGAGGGGAACCTTGCTCTACAAGGTTTGTGGTGGCTTAACTTTGAAAGTAGAACACCAGGACTTGCCCCTGAAGTGCATCTAGGCAGATTCCAACGTTAACCACATTATCAAGCAGCTAAGTGCATTAACTGCTGCACCTCTCAGGAACTCCATTAGTGAATTCTTGGTATTATCCAGAAATAGCTATTATTTGTATCATTAGGATGCAAAATATATTGGCCTTTCCTGATGTTTGTTCATTAGTTCTTGCTGTTCTGTGTCTCGCACAGTTGATGAGAAAGGCATTTCTTAGAATCGTAATGGACGGAACCGCTGAGCTAACCTCTGCCTCTGTGCTAGCGTGGATACAGATTCTATTAATTCATTCCTGCAGGCAGAAGCCAAGACAGCTCTCCTCCCCTCCCCACCAGGTTGACACATTGCTCCTTTACTCCACAGAGACACTCTGGCTTTGCCCCAGCCCTGGGAGGCATGTGGGACAAAACAGAGCCAGTATCACACACATGCAAAAGTTCTTCTCCTGTTTTGCCTGCAGTCTCCACATGCCTCTACACATTAATACACTCAGGGTTTGGCAGCTATTTGAAAATTTGTGTTTACAGGCTAATTTGCCAATTCATTGAAAGAGACAAGGTTGAGAGGAGGTTTTAATGGGGACACAGGAGGGTAAGAGGCAGGTGGAAAGTGTATTTTTGATCATTAAAATCAGCCATTATTTAGAAGGAAAAGTTAAACTAATGTGTCATGTCACTGAAAGTGATCAGCTAGTCTACTACAACTTTGCCACTTAAGAATGAACCTCCCCAAAAAGTAAATGCCAATCTGACTAGTATAGTGTATTGTCAGGGAAGGAGCTGGTGATAGGAAGTCCAGAACTCATTGTTCTCTTGCGTGAGCATTTCTAACTTAATGAGACTAGCCCTTCCTGTGAATGATCTTGGCTGCAGTTGTCAGCAGAAGCCCCTCCTGCTTCACCATTGTGCTGTTCACACCGCCCTTCCAGTGTGCCTTGCAACAGCCCTGAGTGCTGAAATGAGGCAGTCGGGCCTGCGGTTCCTTCCTGTTACAGGAAGTTTCACACTGACCACTGTTTTAAAATTCAGAAACTGCCCTTGCCTCACTACTTACTGTTATTAATATAGTTTGGGATGTTTAACGCCTTGCTAATAGTTTATTTGCCATGGACTTTCTAGTATTTTGTTTAAACACTTAAATGCATGGGGAAATGTTAAAATTAACAATAAAATAACTCAATAACTTTTCAGTATGTATTCTTTTTAAAATGAAAAATAATCTATAGTTCATTATTAGATAAAAATTATGTGAATATTGAAAATAAATACTTTAAATGTAATAGTGTTATGTAGCCATACTCATAATAGCTTTATTAAGGAAGCTTTCTGTAAGTAATATTTATTAGCTGATTCTGAGAAAAGAATCTGGACTTAAACCATCACATGGACCCTGTCGGGTCCAAACATACCACTTAGAAGTATCTCTGAAAAGCCTGTTTTCACTTAAGTTTAACTTTTCACACAAATTAAGGCATAGGGTTTGGAACACTTGCGACTAACGTCAAATCTAGGCTCACCATTACTAATTCTGCAGTCATGGGCAAGTTACAATTCATCTTTAAAAGGTGAAAGATCGTAAATCACCCCCTATAAAGCTGGTTCTGAGAATTAAGTGCCTACATTAAGAAACATTTCAACAAACAGCAACTCATTGCCACGGATTCAGAGCCGACTCATTGCTGACCCTCCAACGGTGGGTTTACAGAGGCAGTTAAACACAAGGGAGAGAAATTGCCTGTCTTTGTCCTGTGGAAAACTGGATTCTAATCACTTTCCTTTGAGTTAGCAATGCGACTCTTTATCTAATAAGCCACCGGAGCGGCCTACATAAAACATTTAGAGCAAAGTTAACAACTAGTGTTGATTTATACTGTATGACAATAAAAAACATGAACTGAGATTGACTCAGCCAACATTTTCTTGACAAAAAACTTGTGTTCTTAACTGAGTTGGAGATATTTTTGTTCGATATAGTTAAGAGATAAAGTTCACACCTCCTCCTAAAGCAAAATCTCAAGCTGTGTTCTTTTTACAGGTAGAAGAGGCAGATGATTGGCTCAGGCATGGAAACCCCTGGGAGAAGGCCCGCCCTGAGTTCATGCTGCCTGTGCACTTCTATGGAAGAGTGGAGCACACCAGCACTGGGGCAAAGTGGATCGATACCCAGGTACTTAGAATGTCCTTACAGTGACCTATCTGATAGCATAGTGAAGTGGGTGGTAAACTGAGTATTGAGTATAATATGTGTATTCATTGGGTTTGTTATGTTACACATTGAGTAACAGAGTATACTTTCAAATATAAGTCTATTATTCATCAAGCGAAACCACTTCTTTAGGAGATTAGGGGAGCTGAAGCCAACAGGCGAGTAACTTCCCCAAGATCAAGTGGCTTACCAGGGTCATTTCCAAGCGACCATCAGTTCTATTAGCTCTCTTGTTTTATAGAAACTTGTCAATACGTTACATCTGTCTGTCTGCCTATCTATCTACTTAAACTTTTTCAGGGATAAGCATTTTCATACTCAATTACTTATTCAAAGGACTATCAAAGTTTTTACTCATAGCAAAGTCAAGAAAAATATTGTTAAACATATTCTGCTATCTAATGCCATATACTTTCCGGAGACACAATGCTGATGTCGCTCCAGATGGCTGCATTTACCTCTTCACCATGAATTTATCCTGCCACTGGATTTGAGTATTACTATCTCACTGAACAATTGTTAACTACTGCTAGTTGTGGTTTGTGTTATTCAATCTTCCATTTCCTGATAAACAAACTGTTAACTAATAGACTGCATGTTCAATCTTGGGAGGTTCCAACTGAGAGATAGTTGTTTAATAAGTCCTCAAGCTGGGAAAAAAAGATGTATTAATCATTCTTCTTTAGGAACTCTAGGGATATGGGGGAGGCAGAATAAAATTAAACTCAATTGGTTTGTAGATTATTTTCCATAAATAAATGCTATATTTTATCCTGAAAGAACCACAGCACATGTTATAGCTAATTTAAAAAGAAATTAACTGATTATTTGTTCTATTAATCGTTGTACAGCTGTTAACAGCTCAAAAAATAAATCTTAAAAAAAAGATTTACCATTTCTATGTGAGTTTATTGAGCATATGAAATGATGAACTGGAAAATGAAATAGGTAGTTTATCTTATAATGGTCTAAATAGTATACAGATACTATGATTTCAAGCTAAAACTCTCACTTCCATGTTGATAAAAACACGAAACCATAATATAAATTGCATTTTATTATAAATTTCACCAGAAGAGATGCAAATAAACCAATTACTAACATACCCAAAGAATTCACTCCTGCATTCGGTATTACCGTTGCACGTAGTTGGTACAGATTTGACATCCGCAATGGCGCTAATGTGTACCGCTAAACATTTTTGTAATATACCCAGAAGTACAATTAAGAGTATTTGCTTTTCTGTCCCCACAAAGCAAGGTTATTGGGTAGAGGTAATGTCAGGCCAGCCCTGCAGGATATTGTGGATTGAAGCCATCACCTGAATCTCTTCCAGATTCATAGCTAGTGAGGTCAGAGAGCATGAGCTCAAACACACTCTGTCCATGCAGTGAATGGCTTCTAGTAAACAACTACGTATGTAATTCCTGTCTCCCAGGCACTTCCCCAGGCTCCCATTACATGTCAAAGTTCAGAAGGACACAGCTTGTGTGATCTCAGGCTCCAACTCACTATATGTAAATTAGTTTTCTTGTATTATCACAGCTTGTTTTAAAAATTTTCAGAGACCATAATTTCCTAGTGAAAGATACTCCAAAAAGGGTGATTTTTTTTCCCCCCTCAACTTCCTGGCCATGATGATCATGGAAACATCCTAGAATAAATATGATTTAAATGGACTATAATGTTTCATTCATTCATAATTCAGTTGTTGTTATGAACCATCAAGTCAGAACCAGCTCATAGCTGACCCTCCAGCAAATTTTCAGATGCTGTAAATCTCATGGGAGGAGATTATCAATCTTTTTCCTGCAGAGCAGCTCATGGATACGAACCATGTGTCTTTGAGTTGGCAGTGCAGTTCCTTACCACTGAGTGACCAGAGCTTCCCTCGTAATTCAGCAGACCAAAGTAATGAAATGTAAGCCTAGGTTTCAGCCTTGCCACTGACTGTAACCTCAGACAAGTAATTTCTCTTAGTGTTAGCTCCCTCGTCTCTCAAATATGTGGGTTTCATTAAATAATGTATAGCATTCCTCCAATTCTGTTTTAGAGTCTGACTCTAATGCAGTAGTTAATAAAAATACTTGATTTCTCACATAATTTTTAAATTCACTGTGAAAAAACAGTTTGTCTTATTTTGTATCAATGCCTGTCCAAATACTAAGCTAGGTTTTTCAAAGCTCACCTCCAAGACCATCTCAGCTAATTATCGAGTGAGTCGTTAGATCACGCTAGTATTCACTGAAATAGCACTTCTTTATGCAACTTTTAAAATTCTAGCAAAGCATTTGTAAATTCTCATGTTTACAAATTTCCTGTCCCATTCATTATCATCATATTTCAAATCAGATCATGATATAACCTACATAAAAATTTATCCTGATTTTTATTTTTGAAGTGAGTACAATCCATGTATATGCAGACTTAGTAGAGCAATAGTTTGATCTCAAACATGTTTTGTAAACTTTTTCTAAGGCTAATACCATAGCACTATGTTTCACTGCAAGGAGCCCTGTGGAATAATGGTTAAAACATTATGCTGCTAGTCAAAAGGTCAGCAGTTCAGAAGCGCCCAGTGACTCCACAGACAAAAGACCAGATAGAAAGAATGCTTCTATAAAGATTACAGCCATGGAAACTTTTGAGGCAGATTTACTTTGCTTAGAACACACCTCTATGGATGTTCAAATCTGTCAGCAGTTCTCCGGAGAAAGGTGTGCAGTCTCCTCCCATGATTTACAGCTTCAAAAACCCAAAAGAGGGTCAGCTATGAATTGGTTCTCACTCTATGGCAGCAAGTGAGTGAGTGGTGATAAGGTTGTTTAGAGTCAGAAATGACTAGGCAGCATAAGACAGCAGTGTTTCATTGCATCCTGAAATGGCCAGGAGACATGAGGGAAGTAGAATAGAAGACAGAACAGTTTGAACAGAATCAGACAGAGTCAGTCTGAACAGTTTGGATGTGGTTATCTCAGTGAGAAAAGTGAAGAAACCAAGTGGGGGACAGAAAATCAAGGCGCTCTAAGACCCTTTCCAGCCTGGATACCCACTCCTGTGGCCTCATTCAATAAGGTAGGAATGGAGCCAGGAACAGAATTCTACCTATTTGTGCCAACTCATTTTCCCGTTTGGTTTAATCCCACAGGTGGTCCTGGCTTTGCCATATGACACCCCAGTGCCTGGCTATATGAATAACACGGTCAACACCATGCGCCTCTGGTCTGCTCGGGCACCAAATGACTTTAACCTCAGAGACTGTGAGTATCACAGCTGGCCTCTGACTTCTGTTTTAGTTGAGATGATTACTAGTTAGAACCAAATTGACATTTCTTCAGTAACTAAGTAGATTTGGAGGCCTAGTTTAAAGCAGTCCTTCAGTATGATACTTTTAGACTCCTTTGTGAAATCCATTAAAGCGGTTTGCTGAAATCCAAGATTTTTAAGATCTGTCAAATTCCACATGAATCAGGTGATATTTCCACAGTTGTGTCACTAGGTTTGTCCCTATAAATCTCCCACCATTTGAGACCATACAGAAGTCTCCAGAATGTCTACATTCAATTTTAATAATGAATATGCTCAATATAGTAATAAATTGCTTAAATATAATATTTTTTGTTTTATATGAATACTGACAAGATAATTATTTTGTGAACTCTTTTTACGTTGTTAGGTATAACATTATTAGTGACTGGGAAGAATTACTTCTTTTTCCTCCTCCTTTCAAGTTATTGGTAACAGATTCACAAATACTAAATAAGCAATATCATGATGTTATGTTTATGGTTATGGTTATGGTTATGGTTATGGTTATGGTTATGGTTACGTTACGTTACTTTACGTACCGTCAAGTCAGAACCAACCTATAGCTGACCGGCTGGAGGGTTTTCAGAGGCAGTTAATCGCACAGGAGGTGACTTCCCATCCTTCTTCCTCAGAACAGCTGGTGGCTTCGAACCACTTGCCTTCAGGATTGCAGCATAGCTTGTTACCACTAGGACACCAGAGCTCCTTGAGTAAAGATTGAAATCATCAACAATTTTCACTTACTTGGATCCATAATCAACACCCTTGGTACCAATAGTCAGGCAATCAGGAGAAGTATAGCATCGGGAAAGTCTGCTGTCAGGAACCTCTCCAAAGTCCTGAAGAGCAGTAATGTCCCTTTAAATACTAAAGTGCACCTGACCCGATCACCTGCAATGCATCTGAGAGCCGGACAGTGAATAAAGACAAGAGAATTGATGCAGTTGAGTTGTGGTGTTGGAGGAAAGTGCTGAATATCCCATGGACTGCCGAAACAACAAACAGATATGTCTTGGAGAAAGTGCATCCTTGGAGGCAAGGACTGCAAGCTTCGCCTCACATATTTTGGACATGTTATTAGAAGAAACTATTTGTTGGAAAGGGGCAGGATACTTGAAAAGGGGGGTGCAGACAGTGAGAGAGAATAGGCTTAAATGTGTCATGAATGATAAAAGATGTTACAGGATAGGACAGGGTTCAGATCTACTCATAGGGTTACTACGAGTCATGCTCAGCTTGACAGCACTTAACACCAACAAAGCTCAGTCAGCAACTAGAAGACCAGGGTTGTAATAAAAAAGTGCATACTTGTAACATTGCAGATAAAACTATGTAATTAAAAGTGTCACTCTAATTGGATGGTATTGATGGCTTTGGTCAGAGCACATTAGAATGTTCAAAAAGTAAAAGTTTTAGCTTTGTGGCTGTATTGATATATGTAAGCTATGCTTACAAAAAATGTTTTCATTTTATCACTAACTACAGAGATATTTTTTGTTTCAAATAAGTTATTTCTGTTGAAGCATTGCACAGAAATCTTCTAGGCAGTCATATCAGTGTCACCTCCTCCAGCAGTGTCATCCAATATAATCTACACCCCAGCATGGCCTAGTGACCCCACTGGACGTCCAGGCTTCTGATGATCATACCTCACTTCTCTGTTTTTCTGCTATTCCCTTCAGTCAATGTTGGAGACTATATTCAGGCTGTGCTGGATCGAAACCTGGCTGAGAACATCTCCCGGGTCCTCTATCCCAATGATAATGTGAGTAAGCAGTTCCAGGGGAATTTAGTGCCTTAACTTTAAAATATATATGGATAGATAGATCATTTGATTTTTCCCTTTTATTACATTTTCTTTTTTTCAGCACTTTTAGGGGTACAGAAAAAATGAGCAGAATGTATAGAGTTCCCATAATATTTCCCCTCCCAATGCACAATTTCTCCTGATGTATCATCTTGTATTAGTGTGGCACATTTATCACAAGAGATGAACCAAAATTAACAGTGTCTTGTTTCACGGTGTCTCCAGTATATTCTGTGGAATAGGATGCTACGTGATTTGGACATTGTATGAACACCATCTTACATTTAAGCCATCCCTGGATTGTGAATGAGTTCTGTTCCTAAATCTGTCTTGCCCCATCTTGTGCTGTTCTCACAGTCTCTGCCATGCTGAAGCCCCACTGGTAGACTTTGTCAGTCTATCTTGTTGAGGATCTTCCTCTCTTTCTCTGACTTTCCCTCTTTTCCAGCCTTATATCATTTTCCAAGGACTGGTCCCTCCTAATAATCACATGCCCAGAGTATGTGAGACCAAGGTACACCATGCTACCTCTTAGGAGCAACCTGGTTGCATTTTTTCCAAGACAGATATGTTTGTTCTTTTGGCAGTCCCTGTTATACTCATGTCTTCTCTAAAATCACAATTCAAACACAAGAATCCTTCTTTGATGTTGAGGATCTTTCTGTCTCTGACATTCCATCTTTCCCAGTATGATGTCTTTTTCCAAAGACTAGCCACTCCTGACAACATTCCCGAAGTATGTGAGCTGACACATCGGCAACCTGAAGGTGGTGCCTCTTTCGGTTCTAATCCACCAGCAGCAACCAGGGAGAAAGACGGGAGTTGGTTCCGACTTAGTGGCAATGAGTTTCTTTTATGTGTTTAAAAAAACCTCTCATTACCAAGAGTGCTTTAAGAAAAAAATTAAGTGTTATAATTAAGACTTTTATTAATATGAATTATTAATAATTCCATATTTTCCCTGAAAATGGGTGGGAAATCTCTGCATTACCATTGAGTTGGAACCAGCTCATTGTTGATGCTCCAATCAGTTTCCAGAGACTAAATTACACAGGAGGAAGAGATTGGCTGGCCTTGTCCCACAGAGGAGCTGGTGGAATTAAACAGCCTGCCTGTAGGCTGGCAGCTCAACTCTTGACCCACTAGGCCACCAGAGCTCCTTTTATATGGAAGACTTTGACATTCCATGGCTCAAAAAGGTTGACATCACTGTGGATTAATAATGTTCTTTATTCATTTTTAGAGCAATGATTTCATTATTTTTTACAGTGATACATGCCATTAGAAAAAAAAATGTTAGCAATATGAAAATAATATCAGATAAAGAAACCATTAAAAAGTCTATTGCCTATAAATTATCTTTGGTGGTATCAGGCAAGCTACCTTTAATTATCTATATTTTTAATTTGATTTCTTTTTATTTATTTTTTAATTTATATGTTATATGTAAAGAGAAAATTTAATTTATAGTTCTATGTAAAGAGAAAAATAGGAAGCTTATTCTGAAAACAGTTTCCTGTCTCCAGCCTCTTCTCTGAAGTAACTGTTCCCTCACACTTTAGGAGACTTTCTGGGCATATATGGCCATATTCCTAAATAGCATAATCTTATTGCTGCGTCTTTATTTTCAAGTTTTATAATTTATTGCTTCCTCATGATTGAAGATGATAATAGAACTTACATTTTTATATACACTCCCACCAGCACCAAAAAACCAAATACTTCTTTTTTAAAAAATCTTTTTCGTTTTAATTGTAATTTTAACAAAAGGTTACAGAAAAGTTAGATTTTCATTCATTCATTGTTGCACATTTTACCCTTCTCCCTCCCTTTCCCCCTCCCCAAGTTGACCTTTTCCTTTTCATTAGTTTATTTACAAAATTCTAATACAAATTCAAACAAATTCTTTCCGTTTCCCTCACCCTCCCACCATCAAATTGTACAACCCAATGATTAATCCCCTCTTCCCCCTGCACATTCACATCCCTCTGCTTCCAGCCTCTCCCACCCCTCCTGGATCCTTATACCTATTCTACAATAACAGTATTATACAATATTTATCCTTGTGAGTTAGTTCACTCAGATAATGCTCTCCAGTCCCTCCCGTTAGGTAATAATTTACAAAGTTATTGTTCCTGCATGCTGCATAGTATTCCGTTGTGTGAATGTACCATAATTTCTCAATCCATTCATTTGTAGTTGGACATTTGGGCTCTTTCCATGTTCTTGCGATGGTGAATAATGCTGCTATGAACATTGGTGTATAAATCTCAGTCTGTGCCTTAGTTCTCATATTTTCAGGGTATATTCCAAGTGGTGGAATAGCTAGGTCATATGGAATTTCTATGTCAGCTTTTTAAAAAAATTATTATTAATTTCAGTAAAAATTTATAGAGACTTTGGATTTCCATTCATTCACTGTTGCACATTTCTCCCTTCCCAATCCTCCCCTCTAGTACACTATCCTCTTGGAAAAGTGAAAGACAAATTCTTTCACAAACCCTCCCCCAGGTCCACTTCACCATGTAGCCTTTGCTCTAGACCCCTGTCATGACAAAAACACCTAATCACATATCCTTTTAAAATAGTTTTCTCGCTCATCTGTTTCAATTCAGTATACATTATTTAACCCATCTTTCTCAGTCTCTCCCCAACCCCAAGGTCAGTCCTGTTTTACAACAGTGGCACCATGCAGTATTTGTCCTGTTGTGTCTGAGATTCTTCTTGATTCTTCTACATTCAGCATTCTTGGATCTCCTGGGTCAGAGTTACCACTCATCCATTTCATTTTCACCTTCTAAGGAGTTATTGCCCTTGTCTCTTCTCTCGTTCTCTTTGTGTTTATCTGTGCCTTTTTAAAAATCCTTCTGCTGTCATCATAAGGTCCCAAGGAGGAGCAAAGGGAAATGCTTGACATTCAACCTGCCATCTTTCACCATATATCCAAAGAGTTTTTTAACCTTAAAGTTTCCTGGCCATGCCTAACAAGTAAGCCAGCCTAATTAAAGCTCTTTGCTTGAAGTTCTTTGAAGGGAAGGAGCTAAGATTGAAGCAGGAGTACTTCATGGTTGCCGCTACCTTGCAAGATGTCATACGACGTTTCAAAGCCTCCAAGTTTGCCTCCTCTGACGGTACCCAGACTACTTTTGATGCCTTCCCCGATCAGGCAAGTGTGCAGTCTGCAAATGTGGGGGTTGGAGGTGGTCACTGCAGGGCCAGGATTTCCTATCAGATTGACTTCTCTCTCTCTGGGCTGAAGGTGGGCATTTTGTTGGATGCTTTACCTGGGCATGTTTAAGGTCACAAAGCCACATCCTGGTTGTTCATTACCTTTAAGTTGATCTCTTTCCTCACCCAGGTTGCCATCCAGCTGAATGACACACACCCTGCACTGGCCATCCCTGAACTGATGAGGATTTTTGTGGATATTGAAAAATTGCCCTGGTCTAAGGTCTGCACAATTTAACATTTTTCCCCTCAGTAGACTACACTGTATATGACTGATTTTGCTTAAATCACCTTTTCCAATTTTTCCAAATAATTTACGCTTGTTAATGCTCAATGGTTAAAGGTAAATTTTTACCCTCACTGATATTTCTCTATCGCTACTACTTATAAGAAGCCTTAGTGGTATAATGGTTAAAATGTTTATGTGCTACCCAAGAGGTCAGTAGTCCAACTAGACCAAAAGCAGAAAAGACCAGGCAATCTGTGCCTGTTAAAATAACCACCCAGGAAACCCTAAGAGGCAATTCTACTTTTACAAGGTTGCTACGAGTTAAAATCAATTCACTGACTCACCACAGTGTTTACAAGGAACCAGATTAAATAGTAAATAAGTACATTCCTGATGGGACACAGTTGTTATATAAGTGTCAACTCTGATTCATAGTCACCCTATGAACTATGGCTCAGAACCTTCCCCTATCCTGAGAGCAAGTTGTCTTGAGTTTTTGACACACCTAACCCCATTGCCACAGTTACCTTATCAATTCATCTCATCCAGGGTCTTCCTGTCCTACACTGATCCTCTTCCTTTTTCAAGCATGATGTCCTTTTACAAGAATTTTTCCCTCATGGCAACATCTCCATGAGCAGTAGCTATATTGAGGAGGTTTATGTTTACCTTTGTGTGTGTGTGTGTGTGTGTGTGTGTGTGTGTGTGTGTGTGTGTAAAAGATCCTAATCTCAGAATACAATAAATTTACAGCATTCTCATAACTTTGGAAATCAGTGTCATAAGCCATTTCTTTGTACCTGCTCAAAACATTATTCTTCCTCAAACTGTGTGCATTTAATAAATGAAAGATGTGTTAGGACAGTAGAAAAGATTTATCAACTGTGTTTTAAACTTTAGGAGATAGTTTTACAAATCAAAAGTGTTGTATTTACATATACAAAAGTGTTACTTTTGCTCTGAATTTTTGTTTTGTGCACAAAACAAGTTCTCACTATCTGGACCATCCAGGAACTCAGTGAAATCGATACACACATGTGAAGCTATTATTTTGCAAGTGATCCGGAGCATGAGTGGCTTGTGTGACTGGGTGAGTGCTTGCAGAGTCCCCTTTCTCACAGAGGAACCATCTAATCCCCCAACCCTTTTTCCCAGGCCTGGGAGCTCACCAAGAAGACCTTTGCCTACACCAACCACACGGTGCTTCCTGAAGCTCTGGAGCGCTGGCCGGTAGAACTGGTGGAGAAGTTACTTCCTCGCCATTTGCAAATCATTTATGAGATAAATCAGAAGCATTTAGATGTAAGTCATATTGAGAGATCATTTCTCTTTATGCTTACCTTTCACTAGAATGAAGACTTAAGGTCCAAACATAACATTGACAAAAGTTTCCAAGTCTGAATGGGGCTCTGTTATAAACAGAAAGTGAAAGAATGATGGGGCGGGGGGGAGCATCTCCCTAGGACTAAATTGACCCCTTTCTCTGTAAGTGAAGTTTTTATAATCACCACACTAAAGATTTTCCTTCAGAAGTAAACAGTGTTATTCTAATATTGTTTTAAACCCAAATGACCAACAAGGACTTTCTCTATTTTTGGCTAGAAAATTGCGGCTTTGTTTCCTAATGATGTCGATCGTCTGAGAAGGATGTCCCTTATAGAAGAAGAAGGAGGCAAAAGGATCAACATGGCCCATCTCTGCATTGTGGGCTCCCATGCTGTGAACGGCGTGGCTAAAATTCACTCAGACATCGTGAAGACACAAGTGTGAGGCTCTAACCTTTATTAATGGAATGGCAAGAGGAAATGTAGAGTTCTGTTTGGGGATGAAGAATGGCCCTGACATAAATATTTAGAAGTATTTTATTCTAAACAAAAAATGCTTCTCTTGGAGGGAGGAGGGAAGAAAACTGACCAGTCCTGAATCTAAACTGAAGAATCCAACTAACTGTTCTGAAAAGTCTAGAAAGTATGTGAGTGGGCCAAGAAGGGCCAAAGGAGGTGATTACATGAGGACTTTTTCTGTATGAGTATTTTGAATTGCAAATTAATATCTATTTAAATAACCCTAGCATCTATCAGGGTCTTTCTTTTATTTCATCTAAGCCTGCACTTCTCAAATATACCTCTGAACTTTCTCCAGCATCTAGGAACCTGTCATTTCAGCCAAATTTCGTGATATGTGTCTTTCTCCTGCAGATTCAAAGACTTCAGTGAGCTAGAACCAGACAAATTTCAGAATAAAACCAATGGGATCACTCCAAGGCGCTGGCTCTTACTCTGCAATCCAGGGCTTGCCGAATTGATAGCGGAGGTAACTGGGAAGAGCTGCATAAGGATGGGCTGACTGGAATATCAGCGGCACCTACTGGATTTATAACTTGAAAATCCATCGTGCAGCAGGGTTAACTTTATTACTGTGTGATCCCTGTGGTCCCACTTGAACTCCACACACACCACCACTCTGCACTTGGTTTAATAGTTTGATGCTCTACTGTAACCATGTTGAAATTCATAATAACGACTATGTTTTCCTTTTTATTTGGGTCCCACAAATTGTGCAGCTTATTATTCACCACTGTCTACCTTTAGAAACTACCCCTTGTGCACTTGATTGTCATCTGAATTAAAATTACCTCTCCCTTTAAATTTCAAGAAAATTGGGGAAGACTATGTGAAAGATTTGAGCCAGCTGACGAAGCTGCACAGCTTTGCGGGTGATGATGCCTTTCTCCATGAACTGGCCAATGTGAAACAGGTGAGGCTTGTTGCTATGGAAGCACCTCCTGGGTACCAGCATTGAAGGTCTATACAATTTAAAAAAAAACACACGACTCAGTGCTTCCAAGTCTAAAGAACACTGGCCTGTGTACTATCTCAACAGGAGAACAAGTTGAAGTTTGCTCAGTTCCTAGAGAAGGAATACAAAGTAGAGATCAACCCATCCTCCATGTTTGACGTGCATGTGAAAAGGATACATGAGTACAAAAGGCAGCTCTTGAACTGCCTGCATATCATCACAATGTATAACCGTGAGTCAGCGCTGTGTCCCAAGGCTGGGACCCTGCTCTTTGAAGCTGGAAGATGCAGTCTTCATAGGGGTTTTCTATCCTAACTTATCAACTGTCCTCTTGTCCATGAACTTCTTTTTCCCCCCCCCCAGGCATTAAGAAAGACCCTAAGAAGTTATTTGTGCCTAGAACAGTTATCATTGGTGGCAAAGTAAGTTGGTTTTGTTAAGTATGGGACTGTCATGCCATTTCTCCCCTTCATCATGGTTGCATGCTGTCAACATATTTGACATTCTTCTCCAAGGCTGCCCCAGGATACCACATGGCCAAAATGATAATAAAGCTGATCACTTCAGTGGCAGATGTTGTAAACAATGACCCTGTGGTTGGAAACAAGTTGAAGGTCATCTTCTTGGAGAACTACAGAGTATCCCTTGCTGAAAAAGGTACAGCCTTCATTGTAGAGCACAGAGTGGCCATGGCAAATTCTAGGGAAAGATTACATGGTTCAGAAATTACATTGTTTATCCTCAAGGAGCTAGTAATTTAGGGTAAAATGTGTCATTCTGGGATAGAAGGAGGTTTGGGCCAAGAGTTTTTAGGGTGATTCAGCTAGCAGTAAAATTGATGTCACTGTTGTCAGTATCACAGAATTGCATTTGCAAGTGCATTTTTTTACACCATCTAGGAATAGCAAAGGGAGCTCTGCTGGCCTAGTGGCAAGAAGCTGTGCTGCAATCCTGAAGACACACAGTTCAAGGCCACCAGCTGCTCCACGGGAGAACGATGGGCAGTCTCCTCCCAGGACAGTAACTGCTTCTGAAAACCCACCAGAGGGTTGGGTACAACAACAGGAATAGTGAGGGCTTTCTGGAGGAGGAGGCCTTGAGTTTTCAGTATGGTGCAGACTGTTCTCAACCAAAGAAAAATAACGGTTCTTCAGTTCCTAGCTCCTGTTTTGCAACAGAAGTTTAATTTTCCAGTTCTCAGCATTTGCTCTGGTCATTGTGTGGGAGGATGGCCTCTCATTTGTTCATGGAGCAATAGGGAATGAGGTCAGCTGTCAGGCTGCCAAAGCACGAGGCCTAGACATGCCTCAGATGCACACTCCAGGGTCAAGTGTAAATCTCCCACGTGGAAAGCGCCACACTGGCAAGACAAATGAGATGGCAACATCTCATTCTCTTCTGTTAGGACCTTTGTTTATTTGCATCCTTCACATGCTCACAGAGCACTATCCACATACAAACTGTGGATTCACTTCCTATGTTGGGAAGATAAAGCAATCTTTTTGTGGTACTTTTGGTCTATTATGTTACTGTTTAACATACTTAGAGCTGTCTACATAGCCCAAAAAGAGAAAAGAGTCAGGCATTTTTGGAGTCCAAAAGATGATATGTGTAATCCACAATTAAGTTCTCAGTGTAAAGCACATTTAGTTGTTCATGACCTTTGTAGCTTAATGAGGCTTGAGGCACCACTAACTTATGTATAAATAAGGCTGAAAAGTTGGAGGCATAGTGCCTAGTTCCCAGGACACCTCCCTGCAGTGAAAGTAAGGGGAGGGAGATGAAGCAATAAGGAGAAAAATGCAGACAGTTCCATTTCTTCAGGTCACAAAGAAGCAGAAGTTAGGAGAGATTCTCTCAAGAAAAAAGTCTATTTTATAAGGTCATAAAGTAGAGGAAATAAAAATCAACAAAGCAGATAAGCCAGGAAAAAGGGAAGATGATAAATATGCTACCAGCTTTTATATAAAGTCAATAAATTATCTTTAAAGCTTCTAGACCAAGAAAGAGTAATATAAACCTATAATTATTTAGCATTGTGGAGATAACCAGCAATAAATTGCATCAGAAAATGGACAGAATTGGTTGCTTGAGTTAAGGGGAAATAGTAAGATTTATCCCTCTGTTTCATTTGAATGTTAATTTTGATGTGCATGGACTACTTTCAGGATCAAGGCAGGTGAGCTAGCTAAATGGCTGGCTTTCAAGCAAATGTAGAAAAACAGAACTACTAATTTGAACATGCCTCCTTGTAGTTATTCCAGCCACAGATCTGTCGGAGCAGATTTCCACAGCAGGCACCGAAGCCTCCGGGACAGGCAATATGAAGTTCATGATGAATGGGGCCCTGACCATTGGGACTATGGATGGGGCCAACGTGGAAATGGCAGAAGAAGCTGGCGAAGAGAACTTGTTCATTTTTGGCATGAGGATAGATGACGTAGCTGCTCTGGACAAGAAAGGGTGAGCAAGCATCTCTCTGTAGCATAGGTTACCTCCAGGATGGTACATGAGATCAGACTTCTGACCCCAAATGATCCCACTAAGGTTAAGTCACATGAGGTGCAGAAGTAGACCATCTCATAAGGAACTCAGGGAGCCTGCTGGTGGCAGATTAGCCTTGTTAAACCTAGCAAATCAAAGTAAAAGGCATGTGGGCACTAGTTTAGGAACAATGCTATTTAATATCAGCCACTGAAAGCTGGCTTTTTCAGCTGTGCTGTTCAGCATTCCTTATCTGATTTTTCTCTTTGGTCAAAAAACAAATGAAGTTACAGTCAAAAGTCATTGTCTATGGTTTAAATCATTATCTAGTGGAGCTCTGTTAACACAGTGGATAGGAAATTGTGTTACCAAATCAAAGGTAGGTGGCTCAAATCCACCAATGGTTCCAGGAGAGAAGGGCAGTCTCCTCCTGTGAAATTTGTAGCTCTGAAAACCTGCTGAAGGGTCAGCTGTGAGTTGGTTCTGACTTGACAGCCATGAGTTTTGGTCTAGTCTTCTCCTAAGATCTCAAATGTTGTTGTTGTTTGTTGTTGTTATGTGCTTTCGAGTCGCTTGTGACTCATAGCAAACCTCTGTAAAACAGCCCTAAACTCTGGACCAGTCGCACCGTCTCTGACACACCCATCCCGATTACCCCCGTCACTGAATCAATCCACCTCATAGAGGGCCCTCCTCTCCTTTGCTGTCCCTCCACCCTCCCAAGCATGATGTCCTTCTCCAAGGACCGGTTCCCTCCTTACAACATGTCCAAAATATGTTAGACGAAGCCTCAGAATCCGTGCCTCCAAGGAGCTGCCCGGTTTAACCCTCTCCAGGGTGAACCTGCTTGTTTTCCTAACAGTCCATGGTACCCTCTCAATACTCTTCTCCAGCACCACAGCTCAAAGGCATCAGTTCTCCTTCTATCCTTCCTAATCATTGTCCAACTCTGATGCATAAGAAGTGACTGCAAAGACCATGGCCTGTATCAGATGCACCTTAGTCTCCAGATAGACACTATTGCTCTTCAGTACTTTGGAGAGGTCCCTAACAACAAACTTTCCCATCGCAATATTTCCTGGCTACTGGTGCCAAGAGTGTTGACTGTGGAGCCAAGCAAACTAAAGCTGTGAACAACTCAATCAATAGATAGGCCAAAATATAGTATAGATAAAAATTTACAGATGCACTTGTTCTGTAAAATTTATAGAATTCTTATTTCCTTTAATACTGAGACAAGCATATTAATTTGGTTTCAAACAAGAAATATAAAGAATGATGTCACAAGGAGCTATTGGAATCACAGAATTTTGTTGTTGTTGTGTACTATCAAGTCAAAACCGACCCATAACTGACCCACACATCAGCAGGTTTTTAGAGGCAGTAAATCTCATGGAAGGAGAATGCCCTATTTCTTCCACAGGTCATCTGAAGGATTTGATCCATGTTCTGCATTGGCAGTGCAGCTCCTTACCACAGCACTTAGATGGTGCCAAATACACTTCCTGATCCTTGGAAGTAAATTTTCACTAAGTAGCCAAACAAATTTAGAGAATTTGAGGGTCCCAAAAGCAAGCTGTCCACTTAATACAAAACTTGTTTAAAGCCGTAACAAGAGCTTGAAATGGCTATTGCCATATTATAACAGATTAGACTAAGGCCTTGTGGCTAGAATTTTCATTACTAATTTTTAGCATCTTCAGACAGGGTTCAGATCTGTTGTTTTTAGGGTTGCTATGAGTCATACTTGAAGGCACCTAACAACAACAACCATCAAATTTAGGGGAAGGATAAAAAAAATCAGGATCTAGCAAAAAATATCCATGTAAAATCTATATCTCTGTTAAGTGTTAATTTTTCTGAAATCTTGCATTTGCATAATGAAACACTTATACTGCAATTACTCACACACACTAACATTTACATTCTTCCAAAGATACAATGCGAAAGAATATTATGAGGCACTTCCAGAGCTGAAGCTGGTCATTGATCAAATTGACAATGGCTTTTTTTCGCCCAAGCAGCCTGATCTCTTCAAAGACATAATCAACATGCTCTTTTACCATGACAGGTGAGTTCCTATAGGAGGAGGCCAGAGCTCTTGGCTATATAAAGGGTGGAGAGTATGTATATCTTAAACCAACTAAAGCCCATCCATGTAGTTCAGTGTAACTATGTCATCTGGTAAACTAGCCCAGGCTTGGAAAAGATTAGATAGTCTCTATTAACAATGCTAGTGAGGTTTGAAAAGAAAAACTGTAAGTCTAGTATTCCTTTTCTCCTTCCATTGATGTGCCCAGACTTATATGCATATGCATCCATATGATAGAATTCTTAAGAAATAATATGCACAGCTCGAATCCACCAGATGCTTTGCTAGAGAAGGAGGGGCAATCTCTTGTACCGTCAGATATGATTTGACAGTACACACACACAAAAATAATAAAATAAAAATTAAAAAAAATAATATGCATTAACTCAAAGGTTAAGGGATGCTTAAAATTCTTCTGAATGGAAACAATG